GAGAATAAACCCGTTTTTTAAATATCAGAGGTTTTGAAAGCACATTTCTAGGCTTTCTACCAAGAAAATTTCCTATGAAGGAATATTGTACTACCTTTTTGAGGAAAGGAAGTGTGTTTCGAAATGCTGAACTTGGCTTCAAAATAAATGAGTTACTTTGGAGCCAGCACTTGCTATTATGTTAATGAGTTTTGACATTAAAGGCTTACTTATTAGCTAATCCAAACCATGTAATTGGAAGCAACAAACCCATATTTTATTGAGTTAATAAAAAATTACATTAAGGGGCTTATTTGGTTACATTCTCAATTTCATAAAAATAAGGAATGGAGAAAGTTACGAGATCATAGAACTTAGTCTAGTAAAACTCAATGAATAAATGTTCTCGCTCTAACCTTTCCTCTATCCTATCTAATTGGGGCTTCTCCAACTGGTGCGCCCTTATTTGGTGAAAAAGTTACTGGGTCTTTATTTCAAATTTTGTTTGCTTTATTGCCTCCTCCACCTCATCTATCCTATCCATCCTATCCATATCAGCATCGTCTCCATATGCCAAACCATGGTTCTTGAAGTCTTCAAATTCTTCAAGTAGATTCTCTGCTTCGTGTTGGGTTTGAATACGAGCGGCAGAGATCTCCTCTAACGATTCGTTGGTGGCTGAAGCATTTTTGTGCCAGTTGAGTAATAGAGGAAGTTGGTCCAGGAAGGTATGGAGTTTTTTTTTGGCCATTGGATTGAGGATGTGGTTTCGACAGATGATATCACAAGCCATAGAAGGTTTTTGTGAGGAGTGTTATCTCTAAGCACTTCGAAGGATAGGTGGGAGAAGACAACAAGCAAAGTTTGGGCTTTGTACTGCTGATAGGCAGTAGGGGGAGTTGGGGCCTGATAGAGGGCGAAACGTCGTCCTCAAAGAGAGTGAGCTTTAATTCCTTAATCCAATTAGGATTAGGAGGAATGTGAGGAGCAGTTGGGTCCTCTCTAAAGGAAGGAGGAAACTGGAGCTCATTTACACACTCTAGCCAGTCAAAAGAGTAGAGTTTTGCCTTCGTGGCCAAGTGTGAGGGGCTCAGCCCCAGAGCCTCGATTGAACAAGGGGTCTTCCATACTATTTTGGTTGGCAAGGTGAAGGTATACCATGCTGAAAGCAAATTGTCTTCGAGGCAATGAAGGCGGTCAAATGGTACATAGGGGTATACCACTGAGTGGCGAGAAGAAAGAGGAATCGAAGTAGCGTCATCAAATTCAACAAGTCTATGGTGAATTCGCTCCCTTGTCTAAGGTTGGGTTAATTTTGGCCAGGCATTCCAACCAGTAGTTTTCGTAGAGGAAGAGGCAGCCTCATCTCACGCAGAGATCTCTGGAGCAGATTTAGAGCCTACGAGATCCATTTGAGCAATGAATGAAAGTTATTTTGAGGTTGGGCATTATTGTCCAAAACTTGTTCATATGCTTGATCAATAAAGAAAAAAGTTTGATTGGCCATCATGGATGTATCAGTCCCTTTGGTTGCATAGGTAGTAGAGGTATGGTTCAAGCACAAAAGGAAGTTCAGTGTTTTAAACATTGCTTGAAGACGGTTATACTTCCAGAACAAATAATTAACATGCACGTCCTAGAACATGGGCAGTAGTTCATCGATCCACTAATATCACCAAGTTCTGGTTATATTAGTACGGGAGGTAATGTTGGCGATATATTTTGTACATACCAATCACAGTCTGACACGTGGTTCATAAGGGATAATTTGGAGAGTCAGTGAAGGTCTCAAGTCTTCAACAAACACGTGGCAACTTATATCAATGTCAATGGATCTGTGAGACACTGGAACAGTTAAGATGTGTAGGGTGACGTGGCCAAACGATTGCTTACAATTTAAATTCAAATACAGAAGGGAAGCCCAACTGCAAGAATGATGTAGTGGAAGCAAGTTTTTCGAAGCCATGTCCAGTGATCATGTAGATTACTTCGACAGCTATCACCCGCTTCAATGGTAATCAGGCACTTCGACGGTTATTGTAAGAGCCTATAAATAGAGGAGAAGGTTGATAGTGAAAAGATCTAGAACCAGATCCAGAAACTAGTTTATTTACTTTACATTTTCCAGTCCTTTATTTCCAGTCATTTACTTTCCTGCACTGCATTTCAAATTCCTAGGAGTAGTAGTTCTGAGTTAGTTTGTTGTTGTAACCCCATTCGAAGCTGTAAAAGTACGAAGGTAGTAAACTCTTATTTACTTAATGAAACTTGATTTCTGACACTATTCTTCCTCTTTCTTTTACTTCTATGATCAGTCTTCTGAATTTTCTTTCAAAATAAGTCACCAGTAAAAGTTCTTTTCATTGAGGCTAAAAAGAACTTCGAAGCAATTGTCTAATTAATTGGTTGGCATTTACTATCTTTGTAAAGACTTATTGATCCTTATTGGCACGCTTTAATTACGCTTCTAACTTTCGAAAGCCAAAAAATCCAACAAAAGCATTTTCTTATATTAATTAGTTACGTTGTTAAAATTAATGCATTAATTATTATATTAGTGGTGGTGGTAGTGGTGGTGGCGGCGCCAGTGGGGTGAAGGTGGAGGTATTAGGGTAGTGGTGTGGTAGTAGTGGTGGCAGCGATGGCAGTAATAGTAGTGGAGGTGGTGGTAGCAATGATAGTCCTAACCATGGCGGTAGTGCTAACTTCTTTTTTTTTTTTTCTCTCTCTCTCTCAAAATATTCCTACTATAGTTACATGGATAGTTATGTCTTAATTATTATTATTATTATTAGTATTTTCAAATCTCTCGACTTTTGATTTTTTTTTAAAACGTAGTGTTATTCAAATCTAAAAATTAAACTCACTTTTCAAATTCAGTGATTAATTAACCAATCATTCTTTTGTATTATTACTCTCCCTCACATTTTTTTCCCTTTTAAATATCAATTAATCGTATCACTTAGGTGCTATTTGATAAAGTTAAAAAACTGAAAACTGAAAAATATGTATTGAAAACTGAATACTGAATTTTTTAAGCTGAAAAGTTGTTTGATAGATATAAAATCAAAAATTTTAAATTATACATTTTAATTTTTATATTGTGATGGTGGCAGTGACATAATGGTGGTAGTGGCATTATGGCAGTGGTGGCCGCAGTGGTGGTAGTGACATGGTGGTGGTAGCGATGTCAGTGGTAGTAAATGATGGTAGTGTTTATGCCAATAATGACAATGATAATGAAGGTTATGACAATAGTGGTGGTGGCGATAGCATGGTGGTGGTAGCGGTACTAATAGTGGTCATGGTGGTGGTGGCGGTGGTAGTAATAGTGGCAGTGGCATGATGGTGTTGGTGGTTGTAGTAACAGTGGTAGTGGTAGTGGTGGTGGCGGCATGGTGGTGATAGCAGTAATGATGGTAGTGACAGTGACATGATAGTGGTGGCACTAGTGGTGGTGGTGGTGGTGGTGAGTTTATAATAGTGTATATTAATACTTATGTTTAGTATTTATAAATTCAGTTAGATTTAGGTAAGTTTTATATAACTTAAATTTTCTTAAATTTTAGTGTACATTTTAAGAGACATTTAAATTTTTAAATGATATCAATTATGATTATTAAACGGATTTAATTGATTATCACTTAATCAATTCAATCTTAAATGTTAAATCATATTATCAAATACCTCCTTTCACATTATTAAATCTAAAAAATTAATATTTAAATTTCAAATTCAATCATATAATTTATATCCTTATTTTTTTAAAAACAAAATGATGATATAGTGAGTGTTGTCACTTCGAGGATATGTACAAGTGATCTTTATTTGAGAGACATGTGAGGTGGGATAAACAAAGTGGAAAGCTGAACAAAAAAAGTGGCCAACTCTCATAAGCTTTTGATGCCTCCCTCCATCACTCTTTGAAAGGTTTGGAACGTGTGCATCCTTCGAACAATCCAACCTTCTTTATGGGAACAATAATTGTTAGGGATTTAGGGTTTAAGGTAAAAATGAATTATTTGGAGTTACTTATTTTTATTTAAATGAGTTGATTATAATTTATGTTTATTTACCAATCTATGTTAAATTGTTTGGAATGATTTTTACTTATAATTTATTAAATAGAAATAACTCAAATAAATTGAAAAAAAATATTATTATCTAAAAGTTCTTGCAGGGATGTTTTTGACTTCTACTTTTTATTTTTTCTTTTTTTATATTATTAACTTTTAACTTACTACAAATTGTACCAAATAGGTACCGTGATCCTTAATTAAAATAGTCATAATTAATGAATCCTATTAAATTAAACGAATATATTCAGTCCGTTCCATTTTGATAGTCCCTTTTGAAAATTCTTAATTTTTTTAGGAGACATGTAATTTTTACATTTGAATTTAATTTTAGAGCACTTATTTCAATAATGCCCTTCTCTTTTTTAATTTTTAATAACTTTTTATCCATTTAAAAAGGATAATTTTGAAAAACTAATATTATTTACACTGCTGGAAATTAAGCTTTTAGCGGCGTTTAAAAAACGCCGCTATAAGTACCAAAAACGTCGCTAATTATTTCTATGACGTTTAGTACCAAACGTCGACGACGTGGCCGTCGCTATAAGTTTATGGCGTTTGGAAAACGTCGCTGTATTAGTATAGGCGGCGCCAAATGTCCTGCCCTAACAATATTGTCACGTCACCACGACGTTTTTAAAACGCCTTCATAGGATTTTTTATTTTTAAAAACTCCAACCGTTTATAGTGGCATTTTAAAAACGCCGTCTTATCTTTCTTTTTTCTTTTTTTTTTGGTTTTGAAATTGTGCTAATTTTATGTGATTGAACTAAAAGAACATTAATAATAAAACTAAATAATACTAATATGAAATAATAGCACTCCCATTCAAATCACAAATATGGCATTAATTTTCCTACAAAATAACATATCCAAAAATTGAATTCACAATTCTCAATCAAAAAATTACTACCTTATATACAAAGCCACAAAATAACATTACCCTCTCTCTCTCACCACTCCCCCATTTAATACAAAAAATAAGAAGTGAACCAAAACACCCACTGTCAGATCCAAGGAAAAAAAGAAAAAATAAGAGAAATAAAAAACCAAAGGATTTTAACACAAAAAATCCTGAAAAAATTGCTGGCCCTTTGGCAACTAATTCAGAAGTTGTGGTTGGATCCGATGACAATTTGGTAAACAACTTCTTCACTTGCTCAACAAGGTCCTCATGCTTCACAGCTCCAGAAGCAACAATTACCTAGAATATGACTTTTGGAGAGACAGAAGAAAAAATATCATTTTCTCAAATGTTGATCCTACTAATCAATTTACAAATCACTGGTCAGAATAGAGCACTATAGACCTAAATTTTAAATGAACCTCAAACAAACAAGAAGAAAGGAACATACAGTCAGCGGGTACATAATTGATAGTTTTTACCAAGAATGAATATCAACCTATGAAGTAAAATCATAGAATGGTTTATTTCATTCAAACAAGCGTCGAGAAGGAAAGATAAAATAAAATCAGTCAATCACTGTCACTAGCATTCAATATGAGCTATTGATGGCATTCAGTTAAAAGATTTTCTTTAGCAGTCACAATATTAATTCTTCAAATCTGTAGAAAGGGCAAGGTGGTAGGTGAGACGTCTATTTGTAAATTGCTCCACTAGTGTAGGATAAAATATGTGCTATTTTAGCAGACGATATTCTACATTGTTGGAGTGTTTTACGTTGTGTTGTGCTTCTGTAGTACTGCTACACCTAAATACTACATCAATGAAGTTGCTCTAATGTTCTTGTCATGCATCAACATGTCTTCTATGACCCTCAATCAAAGAAAAAAGGAAAAGTAACAGAAGGAACTCATGTAGTACCTTTAAGGCATAACCACCCACGCATTAACTCATGAGCAAGAATCGCACCTGTCAGTAATCTGTATAAAACGAAGATGTGTCCATAAGAGTTCATAACATTAACCATGGTTTGCCACTTACAAGAGTAAACAACAAAAACATCATATGGAAGTGTAGAAATGTAAAGTGTCAAACAATTATAAAACAGAGAGACAGAGGGCGTGAAAAAGTGAGTGTGTGAAAAAAGCACCAAATATTACCTTGGGAGACCATACAGAACAAGAATGGCTGTGACTTCACACTTTCGAGTCAGCTTTTGATGTTGTGTTCTCATTCCTACAAGTCGGTGGTTCCCTACTCTTGGCCTTTTAAGTATCTAGATTTTTTTTTTATAATACACAAAAATGAGAATGGTCACTCCAATAAAGAAAGATTATTTCTAAAGTTTTTTTCTTCAACATTTTCAGAAATTTGGCAATAAATTATTATTCCTAGCTTTTTTAACAAACTCTGTAATTTGTACTATAATTCTCAGTGTTTTCTTAAACAAGAAGAAAAGCTTCACAAATTTGGCAACAAAATAATATCATTTTGGTGAAGGATGTCAGATAATCATCAATAATTAGATTTTAATGTTTTCTTTTTCTTGGTATTTACTGAAACTCTGCAAATTATATCCTCCCTGCGAGTTTTGGGGAAACTCTATTCTTTTAGAAAACAAAACAATATTGTTTCCTTCCAATTGCTTGCATGAAAGGTACCAAGTAGACACTGTCTGGAAGATCCAATCATATATTTAAGATTGCAGACTAAAGCAACAAAACACGTTTTTTCAAGGGTATTGGTTTAATTTGTCATTTAGTAAATGAAGGCTTGGCCTAGGTAAAAAATAATAGTGCCATATGTATGTGTGTGTCTGTATATATGTATGGCCCAATATACAGTCAAGGATCTTTTCTCTTAGAGGATTCCCAAATCTCATTTTCCTTTCCCAATGCAATCCCAATCGTTTGATTATGCCTTGAGGATTCCATAATCTTGAGATTTTCACATATAGATATAATGGTTGAAAGTGCTTTGAGATAAGGCAATGTAATGATCTAGGAACAGAGGATCTAATGTCATATATATATATATATATATATATATATATATTGTGTGTAAAATTAGAGTTTTACCTGAATTTTCATTTGATTTCCTAGCACAAGGGGTGAAGGAAAAACTCTATCAATGCTACTTGCAGCAACAGTGATGATCCATGGAGCCACATTAGTGACAGTTGAAGGAGTTGGACCTGAGTTGCCAGCACTACATGCCACTACAATTTCTGGTAAGTATTCTGTGTGGACATTTGTCATCTGCATGATCAACATCAGTTGTTTCTATGTTTCCGCCATCTCCAACTGTTATGTAAATAGGACCACATGGGTCAAGTGTATAATTGTAAAAATATGAAAAATTTCTATTAGAATTCTTAGAAAAAGCTCAGCACGGTAACAAGCATAAAAAACAAATTACACGACAAGAAGTTTAATTTAAGCTCTAAAGAAGAAGATTATATTGTCATTTCTTTTAGCTCACATCTGGGGATACACTTCGACTTTTATAATTGTCATCATAGTAAAGCGTGCATACTCTATCAAGCTGTTGTACACTCAGTATCTGGAATAGAAAGAAAGCATCAGTGCGTGTGTGTGAGGGAGGGAGGGAGGGGGGAGGAGAGAGAGAGAGAGAGAGAGAGAGAGAGAGAAAGCAAAATCAAAATTAACTATTAAAATAAAAATTAAAAGCTTAACTCCGAGACGACAACACATGCCTAATCAAATCTTTCCAAATATGGTTTGCTTTCCCAACACATATATTCATTAGAATTCTTTTAAAGACAAATTTTTGTTGAGGACCAAAATTAAACCACCAGGTAACCAACAAACATGCACGCATGCACAAACAGAGAAAAAGACTTACAGGGCAGAGATCATTTGTAATTTCGTCATAGGAAATTCGTGATTTCTGATGTATAACTTGCACATAAATATATAGCATGAATCAAACTAACAAAGACACAGATGCCCAAGGTTAATAGGAGAAAACCCACCATCAACATATCCTTCCCCAGGTGGATATCCACAAGTAGGTTATCCTAGTCCATTGGCTTCACATCATTCAGGTATGTTTGATGCATTTCTTTGTACTTTGACGTAAATTTGACTTTCTTATCTATTGTTAGGTTATGTTTGCCAATAGATTGTCACTACTTCACTCAGGAGGGACCTTATTATTGGCTTTTCTTGCCATGTGTTGTTATTTTGAGTTGTCCTCCAATATTAGGATATGTTTTTTATTTGATTGTGAAGGACCTTACGAGCTTTTTTTGCTTTTCTGTTGTGATGAGGGAAGTGGGCATGGTATGTGTTGTTTTTAGTTTTTTGATTGTGTCATTTAAACAGAATAATGGTGGAAATAGGTCCACTATGGGCAACCTACAAAGGGCTTTCATCCAAATGTTATGACCTACTGAGGGCTTTCAAATATCGGAGATTTTATTTCTATAAAAAATTTGCAGTTAAAAAAACTTGAGAGTCATTAGGTATGTTAAAGGTGAATGGTATCACCACCTGCAAGAATTGTTTGAACAGTAACGGCTGGCACTTGGCAAGAAATGTGAAACTCCTAGAACCTTTGATTAGTTTGAGCGTCTATCCTGTGTTTTTGAATCCAAAACAAGAAACTCATACCGGCAAAAACTATCAAGTGCATATTATCACCTAGGAGGAATCAGAAGTAGAAGCTTTTTTTAATGATTTTTGACACCAAAATAGTTGTAGAATTCCCTTTCATCCCGGCGGTAAAGAGGAGTAAACTAGGATGTCCTAATTTGAAATACTGTAAAAAATTGACAGTTTGTCTCTAATTCTCTCTTAGGGAGAGGGGGAAGAGAGATTAAAATCCAATGGTTCACGTCTGATTATTGAACCTTCTTTTTTTTTTTTGTTGTTAATTTTTCATTTCTCTGCCTCCTATTTACATCTACTATTTTGCAATATAGTATAACAATGTACCTATTAAATTACATTTATGCAAGGTAATGAGGATCCTTAACACCCTAAACAGGCAGGCTTGCAATGCTGTATGTTCAATTGTTCAATTGCCATAAATATATAGCATGAATCAAACTAACAAAGACACAGATGCCCAAGGTTAACAGGAGAAAATAAGAGGTTAACCAATCTAAGAAGTTTAGAAAAGTAAAACTTAATTTCAAAGGAGAAAACTAAGAAAAAGACATTAATTTGGCTCAAACAGTATACACTAGTTCCAGAATAGTGAAACCATTAATAGTGAGCAAATTAAAAGTATCTAAGGCATACCATCTGAATTGCACCATGATAAAGAACCAAGAGAACATACCAAGAATCCGACAGCCTGTCTTACGTGTTTTAGTTCATCCCAGGATGTCCCTGCATACTGCATTGGGGAGAAAACAGACATTATAGCAAAAATGTGCCTGACCAAAAATATCAATAGCAAGGACAAGTTTGGTGCCAAACAAAAATATATATAGTGTAATTAGTCTCCTATGGGCCGTTGCTAGTGTGGGAAAAACTAGAGCTGTTAAGTATGAGAAGTCAGAACCAGTTAAGAGTCTAAGGGCAGCCACATAAAGTTTTTCCATTTTCCATTGTAGGATTGAAATCATAGTCAAATTTCTACAATTGTGGTTTTGTTACCCCAATAAAAAATAAAAAACACTTGAGACTACAATAACACAAAGACACAAAATTCAAACTGAATGAAAAGAAATGAACTACCTTTTGCTTGTTAATGGTGTAACTGTCTGTTCTGTACTTAGATAGAATACCTTCCTTAACTAGCTTGTCCATAATTTCTGAAAACCAGTTAAAAAATGAAATTTTCAATTTATTCTACAGCTTAAAGTGTTCAACCGTGCAGGATTGGATGCCTTCTCTTACAAGTTTACAAGTCCCATAAAATGTGGAAAGTTTACTAGTTTGATATGGTCCGGGGGGAAAAAGAAAGAAAAAAAAGAAAAGAAAAAAAGAATAAGAAATAGCAAAAGGAAAAGGAAAAGAAAAAAGAAGAAAAAGTTCCTCATGCGATAGAATTCATTTAAGACTATTATGTTGAGGTCGGGAAACCAAGTAACAAAGACAAGGAGATGTGACACAAGATTGCAATGCTGACATGGTGATAAAAACTTGTAATGCCAAAAAACTGTATACCTTCCAATGTATCTTAGGGACTTTGGTGATGAACCATCCTTAGGGAACTTGCTATTTTCAACATACCTGAAATTAAATGAATATAAGAAATTTTATTAGCCTTTTAAAGGTAATAGAAAGATGACAATTGCCAAATTTAGCTACATTTACTTTGTGGTTGGTTCATCCCAATACTGGGCATTTCCTTTATTTGTTGAATAGATCTTTCCTTTCTTTGGAACCTGTTCGTAGATGCAGTAATGAAGCATGATTAGAGAACTACATAGTACTAAAACAGAGTTCATGTGTTCAAATATGATAGCACACAATTTTTACCTTGATATCTGGGTGAGTTAATATAAACTCCCCAATAGATGGGTCGAGTGTGAAGCCATTGACGCCATTTCCAGTGCTAAGGACTAGCTACAACACCATTGAACACCATTGCAAAATCAACAAGATGGAGTTTTTCTATCAAAAATAAATAGAAACCCAAGTTTTTCCACAAACAAAAATTCATGACAAAGTATCTAAAACACAGAGAAGGTAATGATAATAATTTTTTTATAAATATTTTTATTTTAATACATATTAATTATTTTATTTATTTATTATATTTTTAAATAATGTGTTGTAATTAATTATTTTATTTTATTTTACATACATGTGTTTATTTTTTTATTTATTAATATGTATAAGTATATATTATCTTATAATATGTATTATCCATTATCTAATAAGTATATTTATGTTATATAATAACTATTATATAATATAATATATAATAAAATAATAATAGTTATTAGTTATATAATAATAATAATAATAATAATAATAATAATATCAAGGCCAAAGCAATAGGGGCCATACAGTTCTAACTGAAACACCACAGTCGATGCTTGAGGAACCATCCAGTGGATCAAAAACAACACAATATCTGCAATAATTGGAACAATTTGAAACAAGACATTAGAAAATTCTTTTTTTCTTTTTCTTTTTTTTTCGCAATATTACAAACTTTGTAGATACTTGGGATACAGAGTGCATCAGCAGAAACCTTCCTCGCTTTGATGGCTCCACAAAATAGCTTCTTCGTTCTCTTCAGATGCAAGAATGCACTATAAAGGAAGGGGTTGGAGGGGGATAAAACCAATGTTATGAGATCAAAACAATCATCCAACTGAAAAAACATTTAATGGGTAAGTTTTCTTGGGGCAAAGTAGTATGTATGTCAAATTGAATTTGTAATTTTCAAGTAAGAAAAGGAGTACTAGTGTATTATTACCAATGAAGAACATTCAATTTTTTATGATTATGATGATAAGTTTCATTGTATAGAAGAGAATTCGTAAGCCCTAACTCAGGCCTTCTATTATCATCTGGCATAATGCATTCTTTTTTCTATTCTTGAAAGGGGGAAAAAAAATTGAAACTGAAACGATATGGAATTTTTTTTTACGAAAACTATTTCTAATCGTTGTCTTTGGAAAAGCTTTTAAAAAACACTCCAGTAATAGGAAACACTTTCATATTGTTTTTAAAAAATTGCAAAATTTGTTTTCACACAAAAGAAACAAAAAGAAAAAGATATGAATGTTTCTCAACTTTTATTGTTTTTATTCCCAAAAACACGAAGAAAAAAAAAATGAAAATATTTTGAAAACAAGTCAATGCAATCAACTGGTTGAACTTTTTTTTCTCAATTGATCTGATTTTCACCGAGAGAGAGAGCAGAGCAGAGCTCACCTCTCGGAATCGCTGAGATTAACTTCGATTTCGATTTCGAGAGAGAACTTCGAAATCACTCTGATGAATAACCGATGTGAATCGTTGAGACTGATCTGAATCTCTGAATCACCGAGCTGAATCTCTGCAATAATTAGGGTTTAGACAGCAGAGAGAGAGAGAGAGATAGTGGAGCTCACCGATCTGAATAGCTGAGATGAACTTCGATTTCGATTTTGAGATATGAATCACCGATACCGATCTGAATAGCTGAGATCTGAATCGCGATCTGAATCGAAATCGAAGTGATATGAACTCAGATTTGAATCGAAATCGAAGCGATATGAACTTAGATCTGAATCGCAATATGAACTTCGATTTCGAGATCTGAATCGCTGAGACAGATCTGAATCGCTGATATGAACTTCGAAATCGCTCTGATGAATCACTTCGATTTCGAGAGAGAACTTCGATTTATGACGATTCCATTGATAAGCAACTGAATCTCTGCGATAATTTGATAAGCTGTGCTCAAAATCGAACTTCGAAATCGCAATCCTGAGATGAATCACCGAACTGAAGAAGAATCGAAGAAGAATCACTGAGTAAAAGACTGAAGAAGAATCGAGAGAGAGAACTCATCTTTTTTTTTTCAATCAAACAGATTCAATCCTCTGAGAGAGAGAGAGCAAGAGAGACAGGAGAGACGTGGGTTTTCAAAATAAAGGTTTAGAGAGACAGAAGAGGGTGTGAAGAGTGACAGGATTAGGAGGCGTTTTTCAAAGGTCTTCTATGCACAAAACGGTACCGTTTTGATTATTAACAAATGCGACGTTTAAAAAACGCCACTAATTATTAGAAAAAGTGACGTTTAATAAAACGTCGTTAATTAAACGCCACTAAATCTCTAATTTCCTGTAGTGTTACTTTGACTTTTTAAATAGGACTAACATTTTAAAACATCCTCAAATTAAAAAAAAAATAAAAAAAAAAAATAAAAACTAACAAACTTTGGACAGAGTGAGTATTGATTATTGTAACATAAATATTATGGAAAAATGTTTGCACGTGAGACCTCTCTCTTCAAAACTTCAATTAACTTCATACACACCACTCACTAGATGTCATCACCTTAAAAAGTTATTTTGTTGAAGAATATTTTATGTCGATTTATTTTAATTAAGAATAATTTGACAAACTTTTTGGCTAAAAAGTTCATTGGTATTTATTTTAAAAAGTGGCTTTTTCAATGAAGAGACACAAATGACCTAGCCAAAAATAGCTGGACATCTCCAATTGGTTTTGAGTTATTAAAGATAGTCTTTGTATTCTTAATTCACATTTTTTTTGATTTTAGTGATTTTTTAAAATATTTTAGTTAATTGTTTTTATCTTTCCAATGCGCTTAATCTTGATGTACTTAAAAAGTAAAATATTTATGAAGAAATCTTAATAAATTCAATAAATACATATATATATATATATGAAAATATATTGAATTTTTGTATTATTATTATTTTTTAAAAATATATAGATTAAGTGTATTTAAAGAGAAAAACTAATTAAAATATTAAAAAAATAATAAAAAATAAAATATACGAATTTAAAAATTTAAAAATATTTTTAAAAACTTCAAGACGAAACGGAGTAGAGTTGGTTTGCCACCTTTGCATATGTGGATTTTTTTTTTTGTTTTTTTTGGTTGAAGTTTTTAACCATAAAAAAGATGTCACCATCATGTCTCAAAATGAAGAAGTTTCACCCAACTTTGACCTACAAGATACAACTATGTGTCATAGATATATATATTTTATTAAAATCTATGGATGAATTTGAAACGATTAGGAATAAAACTGATAAATAACATTTATTTATTTATTTATTTTTGGTTTGTTAGTTCATGTAACAATAGTAAGTATTCTTTGTTCTATATTCCTTAGTTGTGATAACATGGTTTGTTGTGCGACAAGGGCATGAGACAATAGGATCCACTCGATATTTTTTTTTTCATTTTTTTTTTTAATTACACTAAGGTGTTTGGAAAGTGATTATTTTAGTTGATTTTAGGAATAAAACTGATAAATAACATTTATTTATTTATTTATTTATTTATTTTTGGTTTGTTAGTTCATGTAACAATAGTGAGTATTCTTTGTTCTATATTCCTTATTTGTGATAACATGGTTAGTTGTGCGACAAGGGCATGAGACAATGGGATCCACTCGATATTTTATTTTTCATTTTTTTTTTTTAATTACACTAAGGTGTTTGGAAAGTGATTATTTTAGTTGATTTTTTTTAAAATTTTTTTTTAAAGAAAAGATGTAAATAAAACTAAAGAGAGTAATGTGATTTGGTGTTTAGATTTTTTTTTTGTGACTATTTTGACAAAAAAATCAACACAAAAAACAACAAACTATACCCAAAAAAAATAAATAAAATTCTCTATTCTGTCTACTTTTTGAACCTTTTTTTTTTCCATAAAAAGCCAAAAAAAATCTCAAATATGCTAATTCTTTTTAAATATTTTTTATCTAGTATTTTAGCTAAAAAATCAAAAATTTACTAAAATAATCTATTCCCAAACGTGGCAACTTTCCCAAAATTTTGAAAAAATGACAGTAAATTTCACAATTATAGTATAATTACACTAACCTCTCATTTAGTAAGGATAAAAGGAGCGGAATAAATGCAGATGGAGTGAAAATACCAAAGTAAATAAAGAAAAAAAAGAATACATTTCAATGTCATAAAAATAACAATATTATTTTTTCATCTAAATAACTAATGGATTGTTATTCACCCAAAAAAACTAATGGATTATTGAAGCAAATTGAGCTCAGTGTTTTGTGAAGTAAAACATTAATAAAACTCAACGTAATTATGTTAAAATTATTGGTTTGCTATATTTTTTTCAAAATTATGTACAGATCCAATGTAATTTATCTTTTGGATTTGGTATGCCTCTAGTTTGTTCGGGACTGTGGCGTCTACCATGGATCATTTTCGACGATTTGAACCGTTCATTATATAGGATCTTTCGTCTATATCATCCACACAAAAACTAGGTTGATCTATTAATTATAACATGCGCTGTCCCGAGTTCCTTTTAAAGCAATTTGAGTATACAAATTCGAAATCCTTTTTATCAATGTCCTTGTTGCTATTGAGCTCTAGGAGTCTCCCATTGTCACCTATTCTTTTCCTTGTGGTTGTTCATGTACGTGCTAATGTGTTCCGAGGTGTCAACTTCTATTTTAGGTGTTGGAGTGAATCTGGGAACGGTGAGAGTCCTCTAGGTTGCTTTTGTCTCACTTCAAAGTTGAGACCGCTCGAGCAGTACTTTTGTTGCTTGAGCGGTAAAGTTGTCCTTGCAGCTCTTTATTTTGAACTCTGAAATACTGAGAGTGTGTTTTCACTACTCGAGCGAAGGTTCCACCTCTCAAGTGATTTATTCGCAGAAGAGAAAGATTCTAGGAGTTTGAATTCACCACCCAAGCCCAAGATTCATCACTTGAGCGGTCTGTCCGCAGTCAATACCAAAAAGTGTGTCCAATCACTTAAAAGTTAAGCCTTACACCCTATCTCCCTTACTTTTCACTTCACACTTTCTCTCTACATTTTGTTTTCCTCTCTCATCTCTCTCTAGAAAACCATCCATCCACCTCACTAATTTCTTGATCTTTCCAAATCCATTGGGATTTTGACTGTAGTGCCTTCATTATAATTGGAGAGCTAATTAATGAGCATTTCTTCGCTTCATCTCAGTTATAGGCACAACAGACCAGATCCACTTTCTTGTTCCCTAGTACTGGCCCAGGGAAGAATGTACAGGGCAGATTTACTTGTTTCAAGTGTGGCCAGCAAGGTCACAAGGCTAATGTCTGCCTATAGAAGCGAGAAAGACAACAAATGTTACCACCACCACCACCACCACCACCAACACCATTACCTAACTAACCCCACAGTCAGTCTCAGAGTAGGGGACAAGGACTTGCATGTTTTCAATGTGGTCAGTCGGGTATATGAGGAGAGCTTGCCCCCTACTTGGGAGGCACGTCTAGTGCATCAGGGTTGAGACATACTCAAAGCCACTAGTAGGCTCACTTAGTCCAGACCTCACAAACTATGTAGGAAGCCACTTCAGATGAATCAGTACAGCAGGCCTATGCTCTGAGAGATGAGTAGGTTATTCAGAGGCCACAAAGGTGCGTGTATGCTGTTATAGTGCTAGAGCAGTTACCAGGATCCTCTGTTGTGAAAGGTAATTTTGTTGTGTTCAACTCTTTGGCTAGTGTGTTGATTGATACGAGTGCATCGCATTCATTTATATCTATTGCTTTTGTTTCTGCTTTGTGATTGGTCATTTCATACACCAAATATAAACACTAAACTATACTAAATTCTTTAGAATAGTGGTAAGTCCAGGTATCGATCCATAGGGACAAACGGGAAATTAAACTAATTTAATTGTTAAATTTCTAAATTAATTTTGATAAAAGATTGAGGATTCATAAACTAGTAATAACTAAATTAAACTAAGAGATTAAAGTAACACTTATAAATAAAATTGGAATTGTTGATTTTTGGGAAAAACCTAGGGTAGTGAATTCACCAATAGTTACATAAATAAGGCCTCAATTTGAGACTCAATTATGTTACAGTTCGAACTAAATAATACTTCGCAACTACAAGCTCGAAGCATTTATCAAGAAAATTAACACGTTCTATGTATAGGCACGAACCATCTCAAGTAGTACTAGTCGTTTGCTCTAAAATAGGGTAGCAACACGACTTGTCCCTCGTAGTATGACTCGTCTCATACCTTGGACATGAAAGCACAGAAAACCATTGTATGGAAAGCATTCAACAATCACAGAAAGAAGAATACATGAAGAGAATACTGAAAAATATTTTTGAAACTTCTTAAACACCATAAAATTTGTTCAAACATTTACATAATCAAAAAGCAAAAAGAAAACCCTATTTACTTGGCTAGGGTTTCATTAAAACCCTAGAAATAGTCGCTGTAGACGTCCCCGAACGCCCCGGGAGGAACGAGCTCCCGTTCCGTTCGATATTGGGCTCACTACAACTCAGGACTCTCAAATTGTCATGGTTCATAATCTGAACCAAAGAGTCCAAATCCGGCAAATCGTTTTGAGAAAACAGATTTTGAAAGAAGTGCCAAACATGGACTGCTTTGCCAGATATAGAGTCGCCACCTAAATATTTTATTTTGGGAAATTTAAGAAACACTGACTCGTTGCCTAAGGCCACGTGTCCGTCATCACCAAAGTTGCCTCGACTCGGGAACTTGGGTACGATTGGGGAAGGTCACTTCGTGAGCACCCCCGCTCGCCCAA